TTGCCATGGCTCTGATACCACTTGTTAGTCCCTGCTCGTTCACAGCTTGGTTGCTCTGTTTGTAGTTGGGCTGCACTGTTGGGGTAAGCAAAAATGCTCCCGGCACAAACAAACCTTTTTAGGATGGAAGAAGAAGATTGTGAACAACTCAATGTATTGAGTATTTAGTTTTTCTATATGTTGTTTTCAAATACAAAACTGCAACCCTATTTATAAGAACTAAGAGCATCTCCAAGAGCCTCCCTATTTTTCTTTTTTATCTCAAAAATAGGGATTTTATCTCAAAAACTGTCTCCAACAGTTCCCCTAAACTTGGTCCTATTTTTAGGGTGACCTCAAATAGAGGCTTCTCTTCCTCATTTCTGGGGAGGGAAAAACGACCCCCCATTTCAAATAATAATAATAATAATAATTTAAAAAGAAATAATATTATATTAATACATGAAAAAATATAACAAATAATTAATAATAAATTACTAATAATAATAATTAAAATTAAAAAATTAAAAAAATAAAAAAATTGTTCAAAAAAATAATTTATTTGATTAAAAATTAATAAATTATAATAACAATTAGTATAATAATAATAATAATCTAAAAAGAAATAATATTATATTAATAAAGGAAAAATTATAAAAAATAATTAATAATAAATTACTAATTATAATAATTAAAAAAATTAGTGAATATTATAAAATTAGTTAATTACTATTATAATCGTTAACAATTACAATATCAACTGGGCTTCAAGTGGGCTTTTAGATAGATTTGTGGGTCTGGTTAATATTCAAATTATAAAATAGGGAGACTCTTGGAGAACAACAGAAAATAGGAAGCAAATGGATATAGGATGACTCCTTATTTCTCCAAATAAGAAGCCTAAAATAAGAAGTCTCTTGGAGATGCTCTAAAAGCACCTACCCTAGACTTTCCTAGAAATTACTTAAGCTGAAAAATCTGCCCATAATGGCTGCTATGAAAATGCTTTGCAGTTGCAAGGAAGTTGCACTGCAATAACAAGGAAGCTGCAAGGAAACAACGGATTATATATTTCTTACAAAATTGAAACATAGCATATGAGGTTGCATTAATCGACGATAAAGTAATGGCGGGTGAGTAGATCTAATTTGAAGAAGGTACAAGAGCCGTTGCTCTTAATTTGGAATCAAATAATGTGAATGAACGAGGACCACCTTATGGCTAAATACTTTTGGGTGATGGATAGCGAAGTAGTAACGTGAGGAAAGAGTGAAAAGAGCCCCCATCAGGAAGTAAATAGGACGTGGAACCATAAGCTCCTAAGCAATGGGAGGATCCAAGGCTCTGACCGTTTGCGGAAAAAGACAATTGTGGTAATCTTGATATGTCTAGTAGTGGGATAGTATGGGACAGAAAATATATCCTCTTGGTTTCAGACTTGGTACAACCCAAGGCCAGCGTTCCCTACAAAAGTTATTATGAGGGTCTACAAGAAGATCAAAATAGAAGAGATTTTATAAAAAATTATATACAAAAGAAAAAGAGAATATCTATCCCCCCCACTGGCATTGCCTTCGTGTTTTGTGTTTGATATCGTTTTTGGCGATAGGTGGGCATTGTATCCTCCTGGAAGAGTTCCTTTAGGAGTGACAGTACATGTGAATGATGACGATGGTGATGTCAATATTGATACTCCATCATCTTTGCAGGTATTAATTTGTAGAAACATCTTACATTTTTGAGGCTTTTGTTTTTCTCTTTTCTCTTTCTTTTTGTTTTCCTTTTGTCTCCAATTTGGCAAGTAATTTTAGCAGTATGGCTCCCTAACATTGTCTTTTTTCCAGTGGTGGTTGGATTTCTACCCTCTACTTGGTGATAATGACAAACCAATAGAGTGTACCCAACTTCCTGGCGAGACAATATATGTTCCGAGTGGGTGGTGGCACTGTGTGTTAAATTTGGAAACTACTATTGCTGTCACACAAAATTTTGTTAACTCCAAAAACTTTGAGTTCGTGTGTCTGGACATGGCTCCTGGTTACCGTCATAAAGGTGTCTGCCGTGCGGGTTGGCTTGCTATTGATGATGATGACGACATTGAGGCTATTAGGAATAATGCCATGTTTAGTGAAAATAATTTGAGCTACTCTGACCTGGATAGGAAAGAGAGGAGTATCCAGTCACCAATAAACTCTGGCGATGGTAGTAATGACATACATAAAAGTGATTGTTTTGGTAATTTAGAATACTCTTACAGTATAGATTTCTTAGCTCTGTTTTTGGATAAGGAGAGAGACCACTATACTTCTCTGTGGTGTTCTGGAAGCAGTATAGGACAGCGAGAAATGCGAGATTGGTTGTGGAAGCTTTGGATTGGAAGACCAGAACTCAGAGATCTCATATGGAAGGTACCATCTGATCCTTTTTTCTTTCTTCCTTACCTTTTTTTTTTTCTTTGCTATTTCCTTGAAGCTTCAATTTAGTTAAAAAAAATTGCGAACTATGACTTAACCCAAGAGTTTCTTTAGTCCTAAGGTAATGAGGAAATTGATATTATATATGGCGTATATTGACATATGGCCATGCTTTGCACTGTCCTTCTCATAATAAAAGCTGGCAGAACGATTATACTAAGTCATTAGTCATGCCAATTTGGTCTAGCATATGATCGATTAGAATGCGCGTGCATTGCTAAGCATTCAACAAGTTCTGTTTCTAGATGGTACTGTGTTCTTACTTTCTCAAATTTTTCATGTATTGTTAGTATCATAATAATGTATGAAGGTTTATCCAGATTTGGTCCCTCTACTGAAGATTGGAGTTTTCTAATTAATGTATTTTCTTAGATTGCTCGATTCATAGCCTATTGCTTCTTATTCCCTAACATCATGTATCAGGGAGCTTGTCTTGCCCTCAATGCTGGAAAATGGTATGATCGTGTGAAGGCAATTTGCACATTTAACGAGTTACCTTCACCTGTGCACGACGAGAAACTTCCAGTTGGCACAGGCAGCAATCCCGTAAGTTCTATATTTAAAATACGTGCTTCTACGCAGAAGCCATTAAAGCGGCCTTTTACATTCTTCTTGACCAGCGCAATTTTTTAACTTGTTGCAACCTAATTCTCAGAACACATCTTTTTCTGAATAAATTTGGTGCCTACATTATTCAGCATACTTAGTCGTTATTAATAAACCAAGTTTTAAAAGAATATCAACTAATAATGCGAGTCAGATTTTTTGTCATAGATATACTTCTTTTTTTTCGCCTCTTGCTTGGTGAGTGTTAGGGTGTGACATATTGACGAGAACATTATGTCTTATGACAGGTCTATCTCACTGGTGACTATGTTGTAAAAATATTTGCTGAAGGAGGACTTGAAGCTTCACTTTATGGTTTAGGCACTGAGGTAAAAATATGGGCACTCTTTTCATGTAGCTGTTAATAGATTTTAGTCTTTATCCTATAATCTTTTTCCTTGTGTCTTTCTTTTCCTATTTTGTTCAGCTTGAGTTCCATAATCTACTAAATAATCAGAATTCCTCTATAAAGAACTACATTCCCTCTGTACTGGCAAGTGGGATTCTTGTTTCCGAACACGGATCGTTTAGAGTCTTTCCCTGGGATGGTAGAGGCATACCTGAGGTGATTACCTCCAGCAATCTACTCTCAGTACACCAAACGGAAGCTGATTATCCATTTGGTGTTTGGGGCAAAAAAGAATTTGAATATCAAAATGCCGGAAAGCAATTGCATGAATCTGGAGATTGTAGTAAAAGCTCGTACATGTGGCCGTACATTGTGACAGAAAGATGCAGGGGGAGAATATTTGCCGACCTGTGAGTAGTAATCAAATTTGATATTCTTTTGAGTTTGAATTCTTGCTGAAAGCAAGTTACTTATAGTTGCACCTACATTGTCTGATTTGCAGAAGAGATACCCTCTCGTTAGGAGATGTTCTCAATTTGGCTTCCTTTTTGGGCGAGCAGCTGCATAATCTTCATGTCCTGCCTATCCCTGGCGCATCACAAATTAATGGGAATGCAGGAAGGATTGACCATTCAGCTGAATGGAGATTACTTATCACGATTCTAAACCGGGAAAGGAAGGACATTTTAAATCATTTGTCTGAATGGTATGAGATTCTTTCTATTATTAATGTGCTAAGTTTTGAGATTCACTTAGTTAAGCTTCATATATTTGTACTCTCTCTCTTCGATTCATTAATATAATGTATTTATGGTTAGGATAAGAATAAAAATAAGGTTTAATGAAGAATACTGCTGAAATATCCTATATATAATTCTCGAATGTGCCGAGCCTAAGTGGCAGACTAACACACTTCGGGATCTTATGTGGCAGCATTTCATATTTCGGAACGAACGAGTAAACTATTTTTATATTTCATTGGGAATCACCTAAAACTATTTTATCTTTCATTTTTTTGAATTACCATATACTTCTTTTCTTTTTCTTTTTTAATTAATATTAATAATTACTATTAATATGTATTCTTCTTATTTTGAAAAGTATATAATTCTTATTTGCATTTAATTTTTCATATATGATATATAAATTAATTTTCTTGTAAAAATTATCAATTTGACATCCATATTATATGATATAAAATGAAAAATAATTTTTTATATGTTTATGAATAATACTAAATTTATTTATCAAACCAAATTGAAAAATATCAAATAACATTATGACATTTTATGTAATAATAAAAATCTAATTCATTAATACATTATAAACACAATCATTTAATGTATTTTTCCCATAGATCTGTTAAATAAATGTAGAAATTAAGTATTACATATATAATGAATGAATATTAAGAAATATTTAAAATATTAATTCTTGACTTATATAAAGTATATAGAGTTACAATTATGTTTAATTTCATATAGTCTGAAAATATTAATCTGATACGTATCAATTTATATTTTGAATTATCAAATATGCATATTTTGAATACTTGAAAATTAAGAAACCATGTATTATTCATTAGTGTGAGTTTAGTTTTTTCTCCTGTTGGGAGCTTTCTCGGTTGGTTTTAGGCCGCCATTGGTGTAGTCCTCCCAACTAGAGTCAGCTGGGTAGCTGATTATTCGGCTATTTAATTGGTTTCTAGTTTGTAATTATGTGTTTTTTAATGAAAGTCAATCTTTTCGGGAAAAAAAAAAGAAATTAAGAAACCAGAGACACTGACTCTATAAATATAAAATGTAATCACATTACAATAAAACTTGATTTAAAAGAAATCAAATCAAATTTATGGAGTTCTAAATACCATTTATTTTTAAATTATATTATTTTATAAATATAATAAAATATTACCATTTTGACAAATTGGTTGTAAATGCTGGTTCTATTTTGATAAATATTACATTAATAATAATAAGTAATAACAATAACAAAAATAATAATAATATTTTATATGCATTGTGCATAATATCATTATAAAGTATATGAATTATCGTATTCGTACGATTTTTCATTGTACAAATATAATACTTTATGAATATGTAGTACACGGGTATCGTACTATTTACTTTTATGACAAGACACTCAACTCAATCTTTCTTGAGAATTCCAACAATCTCCTTTAGATTCAATTGCTAATTGTAGACTAACTCAATTATACATTATAAAAAATTAAGAAAAATGTTAACAGTGAGCCTGAGTCAGCCTGAGTCAGTAAAAAATTATGCAAATTGAACTTGCGATTTTTTTTTCTTGAAAGTTCTTGAACAAATATTCTGTTTATGTATTTTATTCATGTTGAATGTTAACCAAAAAAAAAAAAAAAGACAGTATGACGTTAAATTCAGAGCAATAATAATAATAATAATAATAATAATAATAATAATAATAATAATAATAATAATAATAATAATAATAATAATAATAATAATAATAATAATAATAATCATCGATCCGAATAGCAGGGGCTGATTTATTGATGCCTTTCTGCATTTTGTTGATTCTGTGTAATATCTGCAGGGGTGATCCAATTCCTGCCAACCTGATAGAGAAAGTTGACGAGTACGTTCCACATGATTTAACTGTACTATTTAATATTTTTGAGGTAATCCTTTGTGAGTTCATATTGAAAGCATTTTTTTCAACATCCGACTTTTGTACTTTGGTACCTATATTTTCTTTTTCTATGAAGAACGAGACAGAGGTTCACAAATCTTGGACCTGGATACACTCCGATGTCATGGACGATAATATCTACATGGCACCTAGTACTTCAGCTTATTTATCCGGTGAAAGAAATACACCTCATCCAGCAGAAAAATCCGGTGCGGCAGGATCTAAGAGCAACACGGAAAAGGAATCTTGGTACCCAAGCCACATCCTTGATTTTAGTGATTTGACTATAGGTGAGTTTCTTTTCCTGAATCTTTTTTTGTTGTTGCAAATCCTTCCTTGTCCTCCCCAGAAGTTAATATCTAAGTATTTCCAGTTTCTTTTACCATTACCAATTTTTTTTTCTGGTGATCTTTTGAAACATCTTAGAATATTGAACTTCCTTCTTTCTCTTGTTTAGAATATGAACGGATCCAAAACTGGCCCTTTTTACCCTTTTGAGGACCATAACTACTTTCTGCTCAAAAAATTAATGCAGAAAAATTGATTTTCATTTTAAAGCTGAATTTCATTCATAACAGTTGGTGGTAAAGTTACATTCCTGAGTGCTGTTCTGACCTTATTAACTGAAAATGCTGCAGGGGAACCTATACTTGACCTAATCCCTTTATATCTTGACGTCTTTCGAGGAGATTCTCATCTCTTGACGCAGTTCCTTAAGAGTTATAAGCTTCCCTTAATGAGAAAGACTTCTCCATCGAAGGCGGTCGAGGGAAAAAGATATCACCAACTCTCTTACCGAGCAATGTATGTCCCAACCATTTTTTAGAAAGTTATTGCAAATTCTCTTGCTGAGCAGTGTTAGCTCTCAACCAGAAATTAATAGTTGCAGTACTGAGTAATTACTGACGTAAAAATTCTCCATTTTAATTTATCCCGATATGTAAAATAATATTCGAAAATTACAAAAACAACTCTTAGAGTTCAGGTACTCAAAAGATTGATTATTTAGCTTTGTGGAATGCACTATTAGTCTGTCAGTTAATTTGCTTGAGAATTTTCGTTATGTATTGTTCATGGTTTATCAGGTGTTATTGTATTTTGCACAAGGACAACGTTCTGGGAGCCATTTTTAGCCTCTGGAAAGAACTAAGAACAGCAACCTCATGGGAAGAAGTTGAGGAAAAAGTTTGGGGTAACCTGAACAACTACTCAGGCATCTGATAATCAGCCTGTTTTTTCAGCTAGTTTATTATTATATTAGAAAGATATAAGCAATATTTTTGAGGCATACAGCAAGCATGGTTTGGATAAAAACGCTGTATAAAACTTTGGGCATTTAAAATCGCCACATGTGCCTGTCCGGTGTTGTATAAGATGTAAGCACGAATTTGTGTCTTGTGAGGGTATATGTAAAACATGCATTGTTCTGATACGCTGCTTATGTGAACTTGGTGTGCTCGTCATTGTACAATGTAACTGGAGGCAAAATTTTAAAAATTGTCCACCGTGTTGGCTATTTATTTTCCGAATTCCATCATATAGGGCGTCATTAAGAAATGTCCACTAAGTTGTCACTTTAATCAAGATTCATACAAAAACTAAAATAGTGTACTAAAAGTGATCGTCATTTTTAGAACACTTTGTTGGTTTTTGTACATGTTTTAATTAAAAGTAAAAGTGGCAACTTAATGGATCATTATTGATGATATCCTATATATAAACTTTTTTCAAAAAATGACCAACATAGTGTACCAAAAATGAAATTTATCTATGTAACTGAACACTTGTTTTACTAGTGAGTTGAATAAAGTGGTTGTTGACATTGGGATCGCACACTACTTGAATTTTGGCTCTCCCAGAAACATAGACCATTTGTCAAACAACTCAGCCAGGAACCAAAATATGGCGACCCTTTTTGAAAGTTTTAACCTTTCAGTACTGAGTTTCGAAAAAAACATATATGGCGAAATACCTCTTGATAACAAATAATTATAAACGTAAATTTGTAGTGATTATGGGGTTAGAAATGCGACTTGCAGTGTAAATGACATCAACAAGAAAAGTTTGGATCGGCAAAGTAGCCTTTATTGCTTTGGCCCTGTTTGTTTTGTATCCTGTCTAATCCTGGCCTAATCCTACGTTTGGTTCGTTGTATTAAGGCCCGCTGGATTGGGTCGGCCCGGGATAAAAAAGTGAGTTATCCCATGAAATCAGGATAATTGAATCCCTCCATTTACATAGGATTAATTCAATCCCAAGAAGCTAAAGTCAAATTTACCCTCATTTTAATAATTTTTGGTTTAATTGAAAGGGTATAAAAGTACTTTACACCACCTACACATTTTTTATTTAATTTTTAATCTAAACTTATCCTACCCCTTATCCTGTATAACAAACATATGATTAATTCAATTCCAACAGTATAATCCTTTCCAATTGGACTAAATTAGTAAAATCCCATCCCCAAAAGCAAACAAGGGCTTAGTGGTATCGCTCTAGCTATGGCGACACTCATGGACTTAAAGAGGCCTACTTCTCGGCTGTCTAACTAGCGTACCTTCCGCCACAAGGTGGCCGTAGGTACTACCTCACGTGTCAACACGGATCAACGTGAGACTCATTTAAGTTTCCCACGTGTTCGAGCTCGAGTACAACTCCTCAAACTCGAGGTGTGGAGAAATCGCTAAACATTTCCCGAAAATTTCGACGACAAAGCCCCAAACGTTAGGCTTAGCTCACCATCTCGATTATAAGATGGAAATGGATGGGGTAACTATGTTGTAGTTTCTTTGCAGTTGTGACCCTCAGGTCATCTTACCGTACACACTAGTCTACAAGTCTTTCTGTGGCTAGCATATACCCGACTTTCTTCGCTTCAAGGTTGTATAAATCTTTGTGTGGATCACTGAGTTCTACTCCCTTGTCTGTCGGCCTGCTATTGACCGAAAAACATTCTCTCGCTATCTCTTTCTCGTATGTCAGCGATCCACATCCATGTCCGTACTAAAACGTACGATGTCATGTCTATTCTATTCTTCTATTAATTGCTTTAGTGGCAAATTGTACTTCTATACGGGTCTGTCATTCAGAACGCAAGCCTTTAAGCGTTCTGATCCTCTTTCTTAATTATACATCGATCTGTAAAACTGATGAGGACAGCTAACAATTGTGGTTCGACTCATCGTGACTCGGCTCCTGACGAGGCGGCACATTGCGTGCGGTATGCCACATGCGGTTTACCCACTACCCGGGGCCCACGGGCGCGGAATACCTGCATACGGTACCAACGTGCGATGTACTTGCAGTGTCAGAGTCGCCTGTAATCACAACAAGGTCGCGTCCACGTCTTACGTTAGTAGCCTTATTGTACTGCGACGTACAACTTTGAATGGTGCCACGGCCGCTGACGCAGGAGCATGCTTGGGCCACGGCTAACGGAATCGGTGCGTTGACTGGTAGGATTGACGGACGCACGGGCGTTGGGCAGAGCGCAGGGGCGCGGCTCGATCGGACTCGGTGCACGGGCACGCACTCGGTGGCTTTGCCCCAATGATAGGGCGAAAGTGGGACAAGTGTGTGGAACATCAGTATGGGCTCTGGATACGTGCTAATGCACGCAGGTTGTGCTTGGATCTACCTGCTTCTTAGTACAATTTGAGTGTCTCACTGCTTAAATGGGTAAACTTTACCCAAGGGTACTAAAATCTTACTATTAAGGCTTCTTTGTTCTCTATTTCTTTTACTACGGTTGCTCTTCTTTACACTATGTTTCATCTTAATACTGGAATACTGTTCCCTGTTGTTGAGGATACTTCTACTTTGCTCGCTAGACAACTCTCTCAAGTTATCTTTACGCTTACTATTTATCTGTTTCTTCATAATTTCTTTTTCTCAAGGCCTAATCTAAAACTAGTGATGTCGAAACACCACCAATACTTAGAGATGATTTCATCACCGCAACTTTCACGTGCTTTCTGATCTTGAGGCATCGGGTCCCTCGACTTCTGGTGGAGGATGTCCGAGCTTCAAGTAAATGTTAGAACTTGCGGTTTTCCCTCATGAGGTCAACAATTTTTCGGCTCTCGAAGGTGAATACTTACTCTCCTCCTTGAGTCTACTTAGCTTTCGGTAATGGGTGCACATCTTCCTATCTTTATGAACCGTCGGGCGCACTATAAAGTGACGTGCTTGGCCCAACAATTCCGAATTCGGATTTGAGTCTTCAGCTCTCGTAGCTTCCTGACGTCTCATGCGTTTGGCTCTGCTAACACTGGTCCTATTCTGGCACTTGGTCAATTGACTTCCACCTTTCGGTCAAGTGGTCTTCCTCATAATATTTATGAAAATATGTCACACGATTGCGAACAACGGTTAACTCTCCGAGCATTGATAGTGACATGTTCTCTAATCACGACTTTTAAAACTTTCTCTGTCGGTATATGAAGCGTAATTTATAGGTCTTCGTCTTCCTAAACAGACTGTCTTCAACTTTCCCCTGTGCGGGGTTGGTTCTTCTTCTTGAATTATGGTTGTTGCGATCTCCCACTTGGCTTTTGTTGGATCTACTGGTGGCTGCTACGGACTGTTGTTTGTGCATTTTTATTCTATCGGAATCTTCCGTGGGTGATGGCTTCTTTTTCGAGACGACGAGTAAGTCATCGTGGTGTCAAATTGTGATTTAACATGCGATCCTTGCTCTTGTTCTGTTAAACTTGATCTTCTCCTTCTTTGACTACTAGAGATTACCTCATACGGGAACATGTCTACTATGGTTCAGCTTCAAGCCTCCATGGTTCTTCCCGGACTTATGGCTTTTATTTCAAGCCTCCAGGACTTACCCGGACCTACGACTCTTATACACTGAAACCCTCGCTTCTTATACTTGCTTGAAGGCATCTTGCCAGTTTTAAGTGAGGCAATCTCTAGAGTTAGAACTTTACTCAAGCGTACATAGTTCAGACAATGAAAAGTCCACTGTCTTACCTATGTACTAATATCTATCGACATATTCTTCTTTTAACATTTCCAACACTAATTCGTTAAAAAAAATCTCGAGCAGTTTCTCTCTCTCTCTCTCTCTCTATCTCTTCATTTATTATCAATGTGGCTCGTCGCACGATCCCCGTTATAACTGTGCGTACAACAATCACGCTCGTCTGTAATGT